TTCCTACATTCATTCATCCATTCAGGCTTCATCAGTCGTGGAGCAGATTCAGCATCTTTCGGAGGGAACTGGTGTCTGTAATGCGAGTCTGGATGAATCTCAAGCGCTCGCTGCTATTTTTAGTGTCTTTCTCATTCCGCCCAGTTTCTGCCCAAAGATCCTCGTCTGTCTGTGTTTTTCTGCTCAGCTGAAGAAGTCTGACACCTCAGATATCGTTTTATATGAAGCTTCACATCCAACCAAAAGCATGTCATCTTATAGTGTGTTTATGTGTAGCGGTTGACCATTATGGGTTTATCAATGGCAATGGCAATATTGATATCTAGAGATCAGGTGTCTGTTGCTGATATATTTAACTCAAATCAATGACAGCATGTGAGATTATTTTTAAAATATTTACTCAAAATGCGCACCGTATGTTGAAAGTTTTACTGTTTTATTGTCTGAAAATGGCTAAATATCAGATGATCGTTATTATTATTAGTTGACGGGATGTGGCTGTTCACAGCTCATTAACGCAGATTGTGTGTCTGGTGTTTATCCAATCAGAATCCAGTGTCTGTTTTATAATATTGGTCAGTTACGGCCTTAAATCATCATAATTAATGTGGTGCACAGATACTGAAAAACTGACATTGAGAAGGATTTCACCTGCTTCATGTCACCGAATGTATCTGCATCACCTGCCTACGTTGCTCTCGCGCTCTTGTGTGTTTTTCCATGTGTTCTGGAGAGCATGACCATCTGTCCGCGCTAAACATGCCAACTCCATCAAGAGTCCCGGAGAACACTCTTCACCAGTGCAGCGCTGATTCTCAGATCGATGGTCTGTATGAAGGACGGTTGGGTTTTCTGCTCGTGTGAGAGTTAGCGAGCGCTGGATAAAGCCGACGGGAAGATCTGACGAAGCCGGGCGAGTTAAATTAATCTCTGGACGGCTTCCAGTCGTAGCCTGCAGGGGATTGAGCTGTGCGTCAGAACAGCCGTGTTTTACCGTTTGTTCTGCGGGATCAGAGACTTTTAAGTTAAGCAGAATTTACACCTCCAACACACTGGAGTGCAGACAGTCATGCAGCCGGGTCCTCTCAGGATCAAGTAGTCACTGGATCTGACACAGTTTGCCAGGAGAGTGAAATTAAGTCTTTAAATGTGTCCAGAGATCCTCAAGCACAGCTGTGTGTTTCATTGCTGATTTACTTCTGTGAAATAATAGAGTACTTAATACTACTGGAAGGACTGAATTCTGTCTTAAGGTCTATAAACATTTTCCAATTTTTTTTTTGGTCTCTGTACAATTATTTAAATGCTTTTTTTTTTTTAGTTTATTTAAAAAAAAAATTCCATAAGCTATTTAATTTAGGGCCCTATGAAAACTGTTGTTTTTTTTCTCCGCTAAATTGTGTTTTCCGTTTTATTTTTTCTGGATTCAGTGTTTTATGATTGAATGCAAATTTAGCATCAAAAATTAAATTAAAAAATATTAAATTAAAAATAAAATTTTAACAATTTAATCAATATTTAAAAATCCAGTCAAATGAAAATATATATTTTGAAAATATGCATTTTTATTTTTTGTCAAATAAGATGCAGCACAACAGAATTGTATAAATTATACATTGATAAAAAATATCTTGGTTATATGGATATTCCTTGAAATTATTATTATTATTATTACTTTGAGAAGTACATTTTAGTACACAATAGTAATATATTTTTGTCATAATTTCTTCAAGTTAAACCAATCTGTGTTTAACGCTGTAAAGCTGCTGAAGTGTCTCAGAGCAGCTCTGGAGATGAAGGTCATGTGCTCATATATTGAGAGTTTGATGAAAGTGTTGTTCATTCACACACAGACACGCACTGCTGTTTCTGCTGTTAGATTAATGCATATCGAGAAAAAATATCTGGAGCTTATTGTTATCCATGTGAATTAATCCTCCTACATGACTTATTTATGTTGTTTTATGCACTTTTTCCCAAATTGTGAATCCATTTCGAATGCAGAATTGATTTCTGTTCATGTTGTACAGACTGAATTGGAACCTAAGCTCATATTTCTGCCCAGAACATTCATGTGTTCGTACTGTGAGTGTGCTCTTGAGTCTGGCGTCAGCCGTGCTTCGGGGCCGTGGCTGCAGCTTGTTTGTAGAGGAACTGGAGTGTTTAAGCTGTTAAGCATTAGTGTCATTTTCACACACATCTGCGCTGGCGCTAGCTTCATTTAACATCGATCAGCCGCGCAATCTGCTGCCGTCACCCTCCGTAAGCGGCTTGCGGCCTGCGCTAACCAAACGCCCGTCATTTGCCTGTTGACCCGCGACAGCTGGAGGCTCGTTCCCGCGCTGTAAGACGGCCAATCAGAGCTTAACCCGTAACCACACTCAACTACTACTGACCATCAGCTCACTCAACTGCCCAATGTAAACTGAGCATGAGCCTGTCATTAAACCATTCAGAGCTGGTTACTGGTTACAGTGTGAATCAGTGAACACATCGACCACCAGAGATTCTGCTCTTAAGATCCACATGAGAGAAAATAATCAAATCAAATGAAGCACTTTTAATTTACAATGGATTTCATTCACTGGATTATCAAAAATAGGTATTGCCATACATTTTATTTCCAGGGCCGTCCTTAGCTAATGTGGGGCCCGGTGCGAGGTAGGGAGTGGGCCCCCCTCAAGCGTGGGGCCCGGTGCGAGGTAGGGAGCGGGGCCCCCTCAAGCGCTGGGCCCGGTGGGAGGTAGGGAGCGTGGCCCCCTCAAGCGCGGGGCCCGGTGGGAGGTAGGGACCGGGGCCCCCTCAAGCACTGGGCCCGGTGCGAGGTAGGGTGCGGGCCCCCCCAAGCGTGGGGCCCAGTGCGAGGTAGGGATCAGGGCCCCCTCAAGCGTGGGGCCCGGTGCGAGGTAGGGAGCAGGGCCCCCTCAAGCGCGGGGCCCGGTGGGAGGTAGGGAGCGGGGCCCCCTCAAGCGCTGGGCCCGGTGGGAGGTAGGGAGCGGGGCCCCCTCAAGCGATGGGCCCGGTGGGAGGTAGGGAGCGGAGCCCCCTCAAGCGCGGGGCCCGGTGGGAGGTAGGGAGCGGGGCCCCCTCAAGCGCGGGGCCCGGTGGGAGGCAGGGACCGGGGCCCCCTCAAGCGATGG